GTTTACCCAGTTCAAGTTTTGTGCAAAAATGCATGATCGCACCCGTCCGCCTGGTGTGCTCCAGCCCGGATTTTAGGTTTCAATAGACCTCACCGTATCCGTAACACGGGGCTTAACGGGCAATCCTACCCGTCGCCCATATAAAAAATTTTTGGCTAATCGTGTAAGACACCAGCCGAGCCAAGCCGAGTAATTGCTAATTATTGTAATTGCCACACTACCCAGCGCGTTTGGCAAAGTTCCAGCGAACGGCGCCGCGAAATAGTGCTGGCAAGGATGATAGAGCAAAGCGCTGGAAGACCAAAGCACCATAGATCACCAACCAAGCCGAGCCGAGTTCTTGTACTTACCGGTATGTGGCGGCATCTGCTGAGTTGTGTTGGAGGTGCCATTCTTGTTTAGTTCGGTGAGGCGTTAGGACGAAGCACAGAGGTCGGTTTTGACTTTGTTTGGTTGACGCGGTGTGTTTACATCGTGGTCGCGGGTGTGCGCGAGGATGACGATGGATGTGTTGGTCGGCCTGTGGATTTGTTCCGTCTCGGTGCTTGCTGTGGTCAGTTCGCAGCAGAACAAGAGCAATAAAAAGGTCTGTTTTCCCTTGGGATTGCTTACGTGTTTTGTGTTAGTCTCGTGTAATGGCGATTTTCATGCTTAATGCGAGTTTCGATCGTATTGCTGAAAATTCTCAGAGCTCATCGTGGTGAATGGGACTCTGTTTTGTTATTGCACTGGGAAAGTAACTGGGAAAGTAATCGAACACCACAAGCTAGACCACTGCGCCGTCGGTCGTTGTGCCTTGGAATTAAGCTGGGTGCAATTCTAGTGCATAAATCACTTTTAAGGCGGCATACACCTTTTCTTTTCTTGTTTCTCCCCCATGCTGGTGACGGCTTTTTTGCCAGCTTTCGCGGGTTTTCCAAGACTGTCGATGCTGTGCAAATCACGCTTTGTTGTATTTCTATGCTTGCAGCTAAGAACTATGACCAGTGAAGCGGTCCACTGGGGCACTGGGATCGCCCAGAGTACCTTGGTATGACCGATGCGCCCGTGACCATACGTTTGTTTTCCAGTGCAGCAAGTATTAAATTTGAAATTTATTAGCTGTGAGAGGTACTGTTTCTGTTAAGGCTAAAATATCAGTGTTGCTCAGTTCCTTACAGACGCTGATTGTTACTTCATTTCCCACAGTCCTTCCCTTTCCTTCCATCTCCGTTATGGTAGCCACCTCTTTAGTTTCTGTTTTCCTTCCCTTGTCGTTTTAGTATCTTATTATGCGTTTTGTGCTGTGTAACAGCAGTACAAAACGCATATTGTTACGGGGTTGTCTGTGTGTGTGTTTGTGTGTGTGTGTGTGTCCGCAGCAACTTGTCCGCAACTTTCAAGTCAGGAACCACAGAAGCTAGGAGGCTGAAAATTTAGGGGGACGTTCCCCACCCATGTGTGACCCCGCAAATTTAAATTCAGCTTCCCCG